GGCCGTTCCAAATTCAAATAGCCGTTCTTAACTGATTCAGACGCCGAACTTTTCATGCACTTAATTCAATATAATTGGTTCGGCTCATGAAAAGTTCGGCGTCTGAACTGGGCCTAAGTAGTTGTGAAATAAAAGCCTTAAAAAAAATTTAGGTTTGAACGGAATTCAAACGCATGACCTCTGTGATACCGGTGCAGTGCTCTACCAACTGAGCTATCAAGCCAGCTTGGGAGCTGGTCACGTTGTGAGTTCGTACGTAACATACCCGTGGATGGTAAAGAATGCAAGTGAATATATGAAAGCTCTGTCATAATCACTTCCATTCTACCAAATACGTTATTAGGAAAAAACGCGAAAATGATCGCTAAACTCACAGACATGATTTGCAAGTTTTCACAAGCCCAACTGCAGTCTGTTTAGTAAAGATTAATGGTAAACTTTAATCAAATCATCAGCAGACATTTTCATTTTTGCCTCGAATTGCGCCACAAGCTAGTTAAGACGTTTTGATAAGCGTTGCTCAGATCGTTAGGAAAAGTAAAACTGCGACGACTCTTTTTGGACGTTTTTGCGACCAGCGTCACAAGAAATTTGCAAGACAAGTTTGTCAAGTCGCACAGAAAATTGCCCTGTGTAACAACACCTTAAAGTACTTTCTTTATAAAATTAGCGGTCAAAACTTTCTTTACAACGCGCGCAGTTGAACGAAACTTCTGAAACACCAACTCCTTTTTGACACTAGCCCCACACCTTTTAGAACTCCCAGGCTCAGACCATACCCTTTTCATCTGAAATGAACATCTGCATTTTGCTCCCTGGCCTCCAATAACTGGCGGGGCCTTGACACGAGGAAAAGGTGGCTCTGAGGAAGTATGATTATTAGGGAAAACCTACACTTCAGAGGCTGAAACTTCGGCGAGTGACTAAACTGTTAGTGCAAGGTTTTTATTAGCGTTGACATAAACTATACGTTTTTTGGAGTGACCTTCTCCTGGTAAATGCAGGTTTTGTTTGCGGAAAATCGAGAACAGAATAAGTTGAAATGTCATGATCAAGGTAAGGTATTCTTTCCCACTAGAAAAACAAGCGTTGCGTTCACATCCACCAGAAGTCGATTCTTGCATGGTAGCGGGATGCATGCTTCCTTTGTTAAAACTCGTTAATTAAGGTCTGTAGATGCGCTAAAGCAAGTGTTAGTTTTAAGATCAATACGTGGATATTTCAAGGAGTGAAACCAGCGTTAAATTAGTGGCTTACTCACTGCTTGCTGAGATTGTGTCTGAGTTTCAGAGCCACCTTTTCCTCGCACCAAGGCCCCACCGGCTAAGAAAAGACAGGCGGCCCTGGGACTCAACTTAATTTGCATTGCAAATTGCAAATTTTACGCTCCTTCCTTTCCCGCACGAGGTTCTTGGAAGCTCCTCTTCTTCTTTCAAACTTTGCGTAATGCGGTGTCTGTATTACAAGAAATGTTCCCAAACGTGTTCCTGACACAAAATTTTGCTGGTGGAACCTTCTGGAGGGAAATTCGCTCACCTATTCAAGTGCCAGCAACGGTGAGTAATGAAAACTTTAAATGATGATTTATTACGTTTGCATTGCTACTTTTGAGTACTTAAATGTAGAAATTTCCGTAATTCACTATTGTCAACTTAACTTGATGGCGACCAGCTTTTCTTTCTGTAACTTGTGTTCCATGAAAACCCTTAAAGGCAAAAATTCTTCTACGTAATCATATTGCTTAATCACCTATTGACGTTAAGCCGGTGGGGGAAAGATGAGGGGGCGGGAGAGGGGGGGTGGGGAGGCTGGGCATAGGTCGGGAATTTGACTTTTAAATACCCCACCCCAGGGCTAATATTGTGCATCAGAATTACCAGAAAATCCCTGGAAAATGTTGGAGGACTTGGAGGATAATTTTTAATACCATCCAAAATGCTAAAAAAACCACATCATACAAGCATAGACCAGCATTGGTATATTCAGTGATTGTTTGAACATAGGTGTATTTGAGTGCAATTGATGTTACTATTGTACTCGAAAAAGTCAACAGTAAGTCACTTATCAAAGTGTCTGTATTACTTATCAGGCGAAACATGAAGCACATGAACATAATGTGATGAGTTTGGAGTACTGAAAGACTAATGGTGGACTTCAGATACAGCTACATGCATTTAAGGTATTTCTGGTGTATGTATGGGAATTAGGAACTCTGCATGTACATAGCAGCTACAACATGTAGTATTGGCTGGAATTCTGTCTCCTGAGAATTGATGAAAGGGACAACATGACATATATCTTATTTTACAGATGTCAGGACTCCTTTATCACAAATTTAAATTGACATTTCGACAACCTGAGTGGAAGTCATCTTCAGAGTCAAGTAAATGCTGTTTGTCAGCCAGTGATGTTATAAGTTCGGTCCCTTCAAAAGTGATTGGTCAATTTAGCCATGATTGTATTGGCTGTAAGACTCATGTAAAGTTTGTCTGCAGTTATTGGTTGGTTCATTGGCCAGAGCATCAGTCACCAACAGCAGTTCTTTTCAGAACTACCATTACCCGTACAATCACACAAAATGAACTTCTGATACTCTTGGGTCAAACCATTTACTATGTTATCTTGATTTGTTAAGAGGGTTAAATTAACAGCTTATTCACCCAGAGAAAGCAACTTTGCAGTATTTACGATGCAGTATTTTTACAGATGTTTATTTTTGGATTATTTTCTTTAGTCCTGGGAATGTTCAGTACAGTTCTTAGAGACAAAATATGAACTGTGGGAATTTGCTCTTTATTGTGCATTATGGGTCGCTGGAAAAATGTAGACTTGTAAAGCTGCTGTTGAAACAATAATTACTTTGATAGCATTATTATTATAAATGCAATTTTCTATGTTGCATGGACAAAATAACTTCTACTTTAAAGCAAACAGCAACTCAGTGATAAGTCTCTCATTGAAATATTTTCATTAATTATCAGGCAATCAAGAAGCAAACAACAACATGGGAAAACTAAGATCAACGGAGGAGTCAGATACAGCTAGATCAGGTCAGTATATATTTCTGGTATCTGCAGTGTTGTTCGCAAGTGTACCTACACCTGTATATATTACAACTCTTATTAGTTCTACTGTAATTCCGTCAGTTAAATTTACCACACTAAAGTATACCAACAGTAAGAAATCGTAAGTAACTCAACAACATGATTGTATCTCTTATCAGGGCAAACAAGAAACACGTAAAGTTAACACCAAAAGATGTGGAGGTGGAAGTGGAAGTGAAATACATCAGACATGGCAGGTCAGTTGAAATTTTTCTTTACATGTAGTGGATTAAGGCATCACTATAGTTTTAGTCACTTTGAGGTTTGTACCATTATAGGATGGAACTTAGTCTTGAGAAATCCAGCAGATTGTGGTTTTTGACATTGTTGCTAAGTTGAATGATAGTTGTTGGTGTTAAGATTATTTGGGAACATTCATACCTATTTTTGATTGGACAAAGAGAGTTTGAAGGTCTTTTTTTTTCTTGCAAGGATTTGTCAACTGAAAATGGTGCTTTTTCTCCTCAATGCTGGTGATGTAGTCAATAATTGACTAGAAAGTTCTAGTTTCTCGGGTTATAAAGTGTTGACCCTCATAAACATAAACATAGCCTGCATAGCACACATTCCAGAGGGAGAGCCAAAACAATCAATGAAGCAGAGGGTGTTGGGGCGACTGAGGGAATGCTTTCCCGCAAACCCTACGATTCTGAAAAACATCCACATTTAAATTTCATGGATGAATTCATCTATTGATTGAAAACTTGTCACTGAGCACTACGATTACATTTTTCAGTGAACTCTAGAATGGCTCTACTTTCAAACTGATTTTAAGTGAAAATACTCCAAGTGTTCAGGAAAAAGAAATGATTTCTGTTTGGATTAAGTCATACTGGCGACAAGTTTGACTGCAGTCTCTTTACAAAAATCAAATAATGGAACAACGTACTGCACGCTATTATATTTTTCTTTAGCAAGCTTACTAAAATCACAGTTATATGCTCTATCATCATAGGCATGCAATGCGTGCTGAGAGCTTTATTATCTAGTTCTCTGCATGCATTGCAGTGAAATGATCTTCACAACTTAGAACACGTGACTGCAGAGATGTTGATTTCACTTCAAAAACAGTGAAGTCTTGATTTCATGTCAACACGTAAGCTCCAAGATGTTGATTTCACTTCAAAAACAGGAAAATGTTTATTTCACGAGAACGTGTGACCATACAGATGTTGCTTTCGCTTCAAAAACAGTGAAATGTTGATTTCACACCAGTAAGTACATGTAAGCTCAGACATGTTGATTTCATTTCAAAAACTGTAAAGTGTTGATTTCAGGAGAACGGGTGACTGCAGAGATGCTCATTTCACATAAGGAACGGTGAAATGCTGATTTCACAAAGTTCTTGTGGTTGGGGTTAAAGTTTGGATTAGAGATTACTCTGATTTCACTTAATTTATAGATAGCCAAGGTTGTTAGTTCTACTGTGAAAAAGGCAGATTTTCTTTCAACAATGTGCAAACAAGCGAAAAAAGTCCAGGCCAGTGTTTAAAATATAATTTTCACTCAATTGCCCTCTCTGTTTCCTGTTCAGCAAATAAACTTCTAAAGATACAGTCAGGAAAAGCTGAGTATTTTGCTTACGTTATATCTCGAAAATGAAGCAAAAACCAGCAACAAAAATCCTCAACTGTGTTTTTCTATTTAATTGAAGAACACACAAATTCAGGCACTTTTGAGAAAAAACTTTTTCACACAAAACGTCACTTAGCATGGTTTTGCACCAAGCCCTTCAATTATAGTGCTATGCACGTACCACTTGGTAGGGCAATAAGTCAAATGTTAGCTATAAGACTTAATTATATCTCTCAGTTAGTACATGTGTTGTAACTGTTCAATTTAGCAGGCTTTATTCTCCTGTAAGGCCTGCTAAAATTTAAAGTTTTTTTTTTTTTGCCAAACTGTTCTGTGATTTATCGCCAAGCATTCTTAACTTTTATAGCAAGTAAAAGTTTAAAACTTTTACTCTAAATTGTGTATTAAAGCATGCTAACGACTTAAAAACGATTTCAGATTGGCTCGCTCTGCTTTCAGGTGCATTGAAAATTTGAAGGCGTTCCATGTGAATAGAAACCGTTCCTGAACCCATCAGGCACACAGTAGAGATGTAATAAACATCTTACTAACCTCTCGGTCCTTACCTTACAGTGCAGACCTCAAACTCAGTTAGTAAGAGGTATATGTTTTTCCTGTGGTTTAACTTTTACATTCACTAGCTTGACAACTGACGGATGGGTCCAAATTTGCACTGACAAATCTGCTTAGATCTCGACATCCTTATTGATAACTGACGGATGATTCAAATTTTATTGGATGAGTTGTTTTTATCTGAGCACCCTTACTAACGACTGACAGATTATTCCAAAGGCTAACTGACAAGAAAAGGCTATTGTCTCAGGACCCATACTGACCACTGACAGATTAACCATATTTTAACCGAAAAACAATGTCTTGATTGCAATTTTCCTACTAAGAGTTGAAAAATGATATATTCCAGATTTTATCAGACAATTCATGTTTCAGTCTCAACATCCATACTGGCCAAATTTAAAATGTACAGGAAAAAATTATTGAACACCTAATCTATGTAAGGAGACAATTTATCTATCTCATCTGGGACAACTGACAGATTATTCCAAAGTTTATCTGACAAATCATGTTTTGATCTTGGCATTCGTACTGACAACTGACAAGTGATTCCAAATTTTAACTGACAAATCATGTTTTGATCTTGGCACCTGCACTGACAAATGATGCCAAATTTAAACTGACAAATCATGTTTTGATCTTTGCATACGTGCTGACAACTGACAAATGATTCCAAATTTTAACTGACACCTCATGTTTTTAACTTGGCATCCATTCTGACAACTAGCAAATGATTCCAAAATTATAACTGACAAATCATGTTTTGATCTTGGCACCTGCACTGACAACTGACAGATGATTCCAAATTTTAACTGACACCTCATGTTTTGATCTTGGCATCTGTACTGAATTAAAATTTCAAATTTTAACTGACAGTTCAAGTTTGATCTCAGCATCCTTACTGGCAACTGACAGATTATTCCAAATTTTTAACCGACATAAATAAAGTTTTGAGCTCCACAACCTTACTGACAACTGATCTGTTTTTACCACTGACAGATCGATTGAAATTTGAAGTGACCATTCATATTTAGTCCCATTTAATTCACTACATCATTACTGGGACTTGACTAACAGGCTAGTCATGTTTTGATCTCGTCATCATAGTCACCAGTTGTCAGATGACTTGAAATTTTAACTGACAAATCTTGTCTCGATCACCACATCCTTATCGACAACAGACAGATTACTCCAAGCAGTGTTGGAAATTAGCGCTCGCCTGCTCACCAATGCAATTGTGAAAAGCGTCAGGCAAGTAAAAATTATCGATCACTCCCCAGTTTGGCAAGTACGATTTTCTTTTTTGGGAAATTATTCAAGCTTAAATGTATTGAGAACACTCCTTTTTATTTTCCATTTTGGCAAGAATATCTCTAAACGAAAACTTATCATTGTTTTTATTTTACCTTTTGTTATCTTTTGAGATACCCAAATAGTTTGACAATAATACTCAACATGGTGCTTCATAACGAGACAAAATGAAATAAGGCTTCCTCCAGTGATAATTTACATAACAGTTTTACGTCTATGAAGGGATACTGCTAGTCTCTAGTTGAGCCAGCAGTAATTAGTGCATGAGAATTAGAATTGAAGATTTGCTTGCTAAGAAATGAATTTCACAGTGATTCATCTTGAAATAGAAACTGCTTTGAAAATTGAAGGAAAAAACGTCAGTCTTCCAAGCGCCGATAAGTTATTTAGTCCAGTGTCTCGATTCAGTGGATATATGCGAATTCGTTAGTGCTAAAATGTGAAAGAATTTCCAAGGAGTGCCAAAAGTTGATGATAAAAATGAGGATATATCAGTAAAATCAGTCTGCGAATCTAAGGAGGCAGCTCGTAAATGGACCAGGACAAGAAAGCCCAACACAAAATGGCAAGATGGGCTTCCGTGATTACGAGGTACCGAAAAAACATAGGGTTTGTGAATCATTGTGGAAATTTTTTTAGGAGGGGTGGTATATTTTTGGGCGAGTGGAAATAACACCAGGCAAGTGGATTTTCAGGGTCACTCATCCAAATGGCAAGTGCTGTCAAAATTTAATTTCCAACACTGTCCAAGTTTTACATGTAACTTAAATACCATTCATGTTTTCACGTTTTTTCTTTTCTTTGGTATTTAACTTGCATATCATTCATCCTTCTTGCATCTAACAGATGAGCTCGACGAATATGAATTTTAAATGAGAAATCATTTACTGACCAAAACATGTTTCCTTTAACAACTGATGTCTTGCTGAAATTTCCAAAGGAGAAAATACACTTCTTTGCTGAAAGGCTGTTTTTTTTTTGTTGTTTTTTTTTTGTATGGTGAAAGATACATTGGTTGGCAAATATTACAAAAATAAAGCGATTGAGATGATTACTTATTTTCTTTTTAACATTTGTTGGAATATCTTGAAATATTTGGGACGTATCTCAGTTCTCTTTGAAATGTTCTTGTCACCAGATAGTTTACTAGGTTGGCAGAGTTAAAGTAAATAAAGTGAGCACATTATGTACAACACTTTTATTGCAAATATTTTAGACACAAAAGGGAAGCTTTTCAATGGTAACTGTTGCTGAGGCATGTTATTCTTCACCTGGGTTACTGTTTAAAAAGTCTACATCTTCATAGAACGACAACAACAACAATACGAACAACAACAGCAAAAACAGTTATTGACTTAAATAGTGTCACAGGTGCATTGTCATCAATTTTACGACTGTTGTTTCTATTGTTGAGTCTGAAGCCCAAAAATGTGTTATGGTGTAGTAACAAGTCTGCAAATTCAACTTCAACTTCCTTCCTCTCTGTTTAAAGAACAACGGACATCAAGAACATCGTGTAGCCATAGTTACTGTAAATAATGTTGATGTGTTCTGATCCATTAGCTTACAAAAGTTATCAAAATCCAATTTCTCTTTACAAAATCAGTACAATGTCAAGAAATCGGGTGATGAGAATAAAGACAATCATCAATACGGGAATTTTGTAGCCAATGTGTATGGAAAAGGATGAAGAAAGCTTCACATTGTTGGAAAGAAAATGCAAACGCAACACAGAGCTTCAGTATAATATATATCAAACATTTTTGTTTTCTTTCTTTCAGGATTTCTCAGTGATCAGACGATTAATGGAAGGTGAAGGAAAAGACAAGACACTAGAGGCAACATTAAGAAGACAGGACGCTTAGGACAAGACATAGTATGCAAGGGACAAAAGTAAGACGAACTGAGAGATCGGGAGATTTTTTCAACCCAAAAAGTAGAATGTGTAAGACAGGATTTTTTCCGTTGACCAAACGTTTAGGATCGGCTTTGTTTTCCTTACAATTGACTAGAACACGAAGGTTATCTATAGAAATGAACAGGCCCAAAAAATGATTTACAGTTAGGATTTGTAGAAAATGTGTCGTCAGCTTTGCTTTACAAATTTTAATTCAGTTTTAATCACTTTGTCTTTGTTCACGATGCGAGAGCTTGGTGGATTGTGTGACTGACGCGTACGTGGCTCTTGAGCATCAGTGCTGTTGCGTTACACTAGCAGCCGTTGAGAATATGTTAATAAGGCTTTGTGCGGGAATTTCTATACACGGCATTGCAACAGGAGATTTAACTGTTAATTTAGCAAATAAAGGTTGTGAAGTGCTTTTTGATATTTTGTTGGCTTGTTTAGACAAACGGCAAGACAGCAGGGTACCAAAAGAAACTTTATTTCCTTTATTTTCTGGGTTAGTTAGCAGTTAAAATGTACGATAACATTTCCTGAATTTGATTAATTCCCGTGCAAAACTTTGTTAACATGTTCTCAACAGTCGTTAGTGTAACGCAACACTACTGATGTTCAATAGTCACGTACGTTTCTATCGTATGATTCACCGAGTTCTCGTATCGTGAGCTTCGAAAGCCTTTGATTTTCCTTGAGAAGTAAATTTTTACAGTTAGCCTTCGTTTTTAGAATCCCAACTTTTTACAAGTTTCTTTCACGGACCAATTTCAGAATGGATTGTCTTATTTGTCCAACATCTCCCAACCAAAAGCGAGTTTAAAAAGTTTTCTTGAAACCAGCTAAGTTTTTGTCGAGTTAGTTTTGTACAAAATCTATTTCTCTTGTTTATTAAATGTTTTGTAAAAATTGTCTTGACTGCCTAAATTTACTTCTAGAGTAACCCATGTCAAAACTTTTAATTTTCCCGCCAAAAAACTTAGAAAAAATACGGGTGCCTAAAATACGCATGCGCCAATTTTTATTTTCTGTGTACCCTTGTTGAAAATTTTTATTTTCCCGCCAAAAAACTTAGAAAAAAATACGGGCGCCAAAAATACGCATGCGCCGTTTTTTTTAATTTTTTCCTATAAAAATTTTTTATTACTACGTATTACTATTATTACTATTCTTAACTGTTATTCAATAAAGTTTTATTTCATCCACTCAATAAAAGTAATAAATATAACATTCAAACTTGTTTTGTCTTCTTTGTTTCTTTCATTGACATCAACTAACTTTAATTAAATAATGACAAATCAATAACCCACAAGTTTTCTTTAATTAGTTTATTGAAATTCAATTAAATTAATTACAAAGGTGTCATCAAAAACTTTGCCCTATATATACTAAGACTTTTGGCGGGAAAATTAGAAAAAAATTGCACAGCGTTTCCCCTGACAACTTTTTGGACAAAAATTTAAAGGAGGTACCCCTATAATTTTTCCCGCCAAAAAAAAATCAACATATTCCATTTTGAACACAAACTAACGAAGAATTTTGATTCCAATCATTTAAGTTTTTCCAAGAAACTAAAATTTTGAATCCAGTAAATGTTGGTTTGTGTTCAAGATGGTATATCCATGATGATATCTTTTAAATAGTCAGCCATAAAACGACGAGCAGCTAGCAACCTATTTACAAAAATGAGAAGAGCAAGTTAAAATTTCTACAATTGCAGCGTTTCTACACAACACTGGGAAGGTGAAAACATTTCTAAATCGAAATATTTAAGAAAGTTTATACAGCTGGGTAACTTAAGCCCCAACTACATAAACTCTCTTAACTATAGCGATTCTAAAATGTCGCCGCCTTCTCAATGTTGTGCAGAAACGTTGCAGCTGTAGACATTTTAACTGGCTCGTCTCATTCCTGTAACTAGATTTCTAGCTGCCCGTCATTCACAGCTTAACTATTTAACGTGATATCATCATGCAATGTCTTTCAAGAAGATAGCAAAGGCAAGCCANCAAATTTAAACTGACAAATCATGTTTTGATCTTTGCATACGTGCTGACAACTGACAAATGATTCCAAATTTTAACTGACACCTCATGTTTTTAACTTGGCATCCATTCTGACAACTAGCAAATGATTCCAAAATTATAACTGACAAATCATGTTTTGATCTTGGCACCTGCACTGACAACTGACAGATGATTCCAAATTTTAACTGACACCTCATGTTTTGATCTTGGCATCTGTACTGAATTAAAATTTCAAATTTTAACTGACAGTTCAAGTTTGATCTCAGCATCCTTACTGGCAACTGACAGATTATTCCAAATTTTTAACCGACATAAATAAAGTTTTGAGCTCCACAACCTTACTGACAACTGATCTGTTTTTACCACTGACAGATCGATTGAAATTTGAAGTGACCATTCATATTTAGTCCCATTTAATTCACTACATCATTACTGGGACTTGACTAACAGGCTAGTCATGTTTTGATCTCGTCATCATAGTCACCAGTTGTCAGATGACTTGAAATTTTAACTGACAAATCTTGTCTCGATCACCACATCCTTATCGACAACAGACAGATTACTCCAAGCAGTGTTGGAAATTAGCGCTCGCCTGCTCACCAATGCAATTGTGAAAAGCGTCAGGCAAGTAAAAATTATCGATCACTCCCCAGTTTGGCAAGTACGATTTTCTTTTTTGGGAAATTATTCAAGCTTAAATGTATTGAGAACACTCCTTTTTATTTTCCATTTTGGCAAGAATATCTCTAAACGAAAACTTATCATTGTTTTTATTTTACCTTTTGTTATCTTTTGAGATACCCAAATAGTTTGACAATAATACTCAACATGGTGCTTCATAACGAGACAAAATGAAATAAGGCTTCCTCCAGTGATAATTTACATAACAGTTTTACGTCTATGAAGGGATACTGCTAGTCTCTAGTTGAGCCAGCAGTAATTAGTGCATGAGAATTAGAATTGAAGATTTGCTTGCTAAGAAATGAATTTCACAGTGATTCATCTTGAAATAGAAACTGCTTTGAAAATTGAAGGAAAAAACGTCAGTCTTCCAAGCGCCGATAAGTTATTTAGTCCAGTGTCTCGATTCAGTGGATATATGCGAATTCGTTAGTGCTAAAATGTGAAAGAATTTCCAAGGAGTGCCAAAAGTTGATGATAAAAATGAGGATATATCAGTAAAATCAGTCTGCGAATCTAAGGAGGCAGCTCGTAAATGGACCAGGACAAGAAAGCCCAACACAAAATGGCAAGATGGGCTTCCGTGATTACGAGGTACCGAAAAAACATAGGGTTTGTGAATCATTGTGGAAATTTTTTTAGGAGGGGTGGTATATTTTTGGGCGAGTGGAAATAACACCAGGCAAGTGGATTTTCAGGGTCACTCATCCAAATGGCAAGTGCTGTCAAAATTTAATTTCCAACACTGTCCAAGTTTTACATGTAACTTAAATACCATTCATGTTTTCACGTTTTTTCTTTTCTTTGGTATTTAACTTGCATATCATTCATCCTTCTTGCATCTAACAGATGAGCTCGACGAATATGAATTTTAAATGAGAAATCATTTACTGACCAAAACATGTTTCCTTTAACAACTGATGTCTTGCTGAAATTTCCAAAGGAGAAAATACACTTCTTTGCTGAAAGGCTGTTTTTTTTTTGTTGTTTTTTTTTTGTATGGTGAAAGATACATTGGTTGGCAAATATTACAAAAATAAAGCGATTGAGATGATTACTTATTTTCTTTTTAACATTTGTTGGAATATCTTGAAATATTTGGGACGTATCTCAGTTCTCTTTGAAATGTTCTTGTCACCAGATAGTTTACTAGGTTGGCAGAGTTAAAGTAAATAAAGTGAGCACATTATGTACAACACTTTTATTGCAAATATTTTAGACACAAAAGGGAAGCTTTTCAATGGTAACTGTTGCTGAGGCATGTTATTCTTCACCTGGGTTACTGTTTAAAAAGTCTACATCTTCATAGAACGACAACAACAACAATACGAACAACAACAGCAAAAACAGTTATTGACTTAAATAGTGTCACAGGTGCATTGTCATCAATTTTACGACTGTTGTTTCTATTGTTGAGTCTGAAGCCCAAAAATGTGTTATGGTGTAGTAACAAGTCTGCAAATTCAACTTCAACTTCCTTCCTCTCTGTTTAAAGAACAACGGACATCAAGAACATCGTGTAGCCATAGTTACTGTAAATAATGTTGATGTGTTCTGATCCATTAGCTTACAAAAGTTATCAAAATCCAATTTCTCTTTACAAAATCAGTACAATGTCAAGAAATCGGGTGATGAGAATAAAGACAATCATCAATACGGGAATTTTGTAGCCAATGTGTATGGAAAAGGATGAAGAAAGCTTCACATTGTTGGAAAGAAAATGCAAACGCAACACAGAGCTTCAGTATAATATATATCAAACATTTTTGTTTTCTTTCTTTCAGGATTTCTCAGTGATCAGACGATTAATGGAAGGTGAAGGAAAAGACAAGACACTAGAGGCAACATTAAGAAGACAGGACGCTTAGGACAAGACATAGTATGCAAGGGACAAAAGTAAGACGAACTGAGAGATCGGGAGATTTTTTCAACCCAAAAAGTAGAATGTGTAAGACAGGATTTTTTCCGTTGACCAAACGTTTAGGATCGGCTTTGTTTTCCTTACAATTGACTAGAACACGAAGGTTATCTATAGAAATGAACAGGCCCAAAAAATGATTTACAGTTAGGATTTGTAGAAAATGTGTCGTCAGCTTTGCTTTACAAATTTTAATTCAGTTTTAATCACTTTGTCTTTGTTCACGATGCGAGAGCTTGGTGGATTGTGTGACTGACGCGTACGTGGCTCTTGAGCATCAGTGCTGTTGCGTTACACTAGCAGCCGTTGAGAATATGTTAATAAGGCTTTGTGCGGGAATTTCTATACACGGCATTGCAACAGGAGATTTAACTGTTAATTTAGCAAATAAAGGTTGTGAAGTGCTTTTTGATATTTTGTTGGCTTGTTTAGACAAACGGCAAGACAGCAGGGTACCAAAAGAAACTTTATTTCCTTTATTTTCTGGGTTAGTTAGCAGTTAAAATGTACGATAACATTTCCTGAATTTGATTAATTCCCGTGCAAAACTTTGTTAACATGTTCTCAACAGTCGTTAGTGTAACGCAACACTACTGATGTTCAATAGTCACGTACGTTTCTATCGTATGATTCACCGAGTTCTCGTATCGTGAGCTTCGAAAGCCTTTGATTTTCCTTGAGAAGTAAATTTTTACAGTTAGCCTTCGTTTTTAGAATCCCAACTTTTTACAAGTTTCTTTCACGGACCAATTTCAGAATGGATTGTCTTATTTGTCCAACATCTCCCAACCAAAAGCGAGTTTAAAAAGTTTTCTTGAAACCAGCTAAGTTTTTGTCGAGTTAGTTTTGTACAAAATCTATTTCTCTTGTTTATTAAATGTTTTGTAAAAATTGTCTTGACTGCCTAAATTTACTTCTAGAGTAACCCATGTCAAAACTTTTAATTTTCCCGCCAAAAAACTTAGAAAAAATACGGGTGCCTAAAATACGCATGCGCCAATTTTTATTTTCTGTGTACCCTTGTTGAAAATTTTTATTTTCCCGCCAAAAAACTTAGAAAAAAATACGGGCGCCAAAAATACGCATGCGCCGTTTTTTTTAATTTTTTCCTATAAAAATTTTTTATTACTACGTATTACTATTATTACTATTCTTAACTGTTATTCAATAAAGTTTTATTTCATCCACTCAATAAAAGTAATAAATATAACATTCAAACTTGTTTTGTCTTCTTTGTTTCTTTCATTGACATCAACTAACTTTAATTAAATAATGACAAATCAATAACCCACAAGTTTTCTTTAATTAGTTTATTGAAATTCAATTAAATTAATTACAAAGGTGTC